ATACTGGGTGATGAGGTAACTTTTTGTAAACTATGTTGAGATTCAGGAATCGGAGGCCTTGCAAGAATTCAGATTACTGTTTGTTTTTGTGACAAATTACATGAAACTCATGAGGATGTTAAAAATAGAATACTACATTCCCTGTGTCAGAAAAAGGAAAAAAATTATAAGCTTGTGATAGTTGCATTTTCCTTTTCTCTCCATCATAAGAGAAACTCATTGTTCATAGCATTGTAGCAAACCCACTTTCACACTTCTCCATGACCAAGTCAACATTTAATATATTTTGCTTATTTGAAATGTATCTATTCCAGGCCTTTCCACATATGTGTCTGAGGCTGCTCATATCATTTCTTGGGAAATAATGTGAAATAGTACCATCAAACAAAACTCAGAGAATCAAAGCATCATTGATAGGCAGCTGGAAAAGTTTTAAAAAGATCCAGCATGATACAGAAATGGACTGGAATAACAGCAGGACGTGCCTGAAGCACAGAATGCCATGGGACAGTACTGAACTACACTGTCTTCCCTATATCCTTTAAGTCAGCCTCTTGCTCTCATTTGTAGACAAAGTATAGTTGACTTTTTTGCCTACCCTTGGGCTGCAAGATCTTGACTGGCACCTATAAGAAAAAGCCATGTGGGAAAATGAACTCTGGCCTCTGAAAACAGGAGCCCTGAAAGATACAGTGAGAATAAGGTTAGCTTTAAAGATCAAAACTAGTCCTTTGAACTGGGCTCAGAAACCAATGTAAAGGATAATCAGTGTAGAACTATTATTACTGATTAGCTTGAGTGTTACATGCACTTATTTATTAAATTTGTTAATGTTCCATCAACTTCTCTGCCATATTCAATCCAATGGAAAACTTAGATTCCAATTCATCATCTCCATTCTAAACTAGCACAGCACAACAACATATTCTTTACAGAATTTCAAAATCACTTTTAGGTTCAAGAATTTTAAAAACTCACAGGAAATGAGATAGGTGGCTGTAAATTAGTACAAATATTCAAACACATAAAATACCTAGTTGAAGTCTGTCTAGTACTGAAAGCTTCCTTAGAGGGAAGGCAAATTTCTTGAGGGAGACACTTCAAAGCAGAATAGTATAACCCCCAAATGCCATTAATCTTGTTATCACTGTCTAAACTTCACAATTCTTCACTGAAAGAGGATTTGGGTTGACCTTTTAGACTCTGTCAAGCTCCTGATTACGTCACTGGAAATATGATATCATCCATACTTGCTAAACCCAATCTGAAATCCAGATGACAGTAATAATAATTCCCTCTTGGTTCCTAAGGTCCAGCTGAAATGATTTCTTGAATGTGCCATTTCAGATTGCAATGGTCTGTGCATTGATGTGTATAGGTGTTTGTGGAACTCCTAACAGGCCATTTCTCATCTACTGACCTATAGTGTCTTTGTAGTCACCCAAACGTTGTTGAAGCCTGGCCTCGTTGCTGTTATTTTGGCACAACCATGATTGGATAACTCTACAAAATCCTACAGGCTGCTAGTGGAGACATGAGCAGAGGCAGAATGAAGTGGCTGTGCTACATAGTGGAGAATAACAGTGAGTCATAGCAGTGGACATTTTGGGACAGAGAATGACAACAAAATGTTTAACAGATGACCTGTCTTGCACCCCTAAATTAATCTCCTCTTCTTAAGAGGGTAGAAAATGTGGTCCTAACACCAGTGCTGAAATAAGACTCTGCCGCTGGCTGGCAACTGCTGGTGGGAGGGAGACAGCATCGTTCTTCTCAAGCATCCTAATGCCTTGGTCCTGTTCCACTTCTCATCCGTTAGAAGACAAACAAGCAGCTCCCTGCACATTACAACGAAAAAGTGTTGCAGAGAATACTATTCTATAATCCTAAACCTCACCATTATATTTTAGTTTTATGTTCGGGGATAGTATGTTTTAAATAGAAAAGATTAGGCAACATCTTGATTCATCAACCACTGTTCGGGCTTCGCTCCACTTTGGCGGCCTCCTGCTGGGTGTCCTCCTGATCTTCAGGTTGGAGAAGGTTGCTGTACTTCATAAAAATTAATCTCTACCGCAAGATCTGGAGCCAAACAAGGTGAGGAATTCCATGTCTGGAGCTCCAAGGTTATCATGCTGGCACAAAGTTATGTGCAGAAGGGATTCTTTTTCTTGTACTTTTTGCTTGGCAGCTGGATCCCCCCTGAATGCTTAGCCAGACTTTCTCCTCCTGTTGCTGTGCAGGTTGTCCCAACCTTCTTGCATCTTCCAGTCCTTGACTTTCATGCTGTCTTCCAAAATTTGTTATTCTGTGCTCTCTGTTTCTTGTCCCCAAAAGGCAGCATCACCAGAAGGAAAATATGCAGCCCTCTTCTCCAATTCTTTTCCTGCACCTCCCATTTCTGATGCTGGAGCTGGAGAGGCAGAGACGGCGGCGGTTGCTGCTGCTGCTGCTGCTATCTGGCCTCAAGCCTTGAGCCGACCCACTAATGAGGGCCAGGTTTATTTCCAAGGCTACAGCAGTTGCCAAGAAGACATCCTTGCTACAAGACGGGAGAAGCAATCCACGTCAGGCACGACTTCCCACTGCCTTTTAAGTTCAGCAAATAGTGGTAGGGATGTTTGTGAATCACGTTCATTTGCATCTTCATCTGCTATCTTTTAAAAATAGATCTTCAAGATTGGTCATAATTTGCCGTGAAACCACGTTTTAGGCTTAATGACACTTGTCTGACTGTAGGGGCCATTCAAAAGTTTGCCAGTCTTAGTCAGTGTTAGAAAGGGGTAGGCTGTTTAGAAGACAGAATGTTGTGCTGGAGTCAATGAAGCAGCCCAAGGATTTCTCTCTTTCACATGAAATACTTGAATTTCCCCAGTTTAGGAAACGTTGAGGCATTGGGAGCACTTTTATGAAAATCCTTCCAAAAGGAATAACAACAGTAAGAAAGGGTCTTGGGCACTTTAAGAATAGATTTCTTACTGCATAAACTTTGGATGATGAAGACCAACATCTGGTAGAAAGACATTTAGAGAGAAGGAAACTGCTCAGCCTCGGTCGGAGATAACAGATGAGCCAATTATGTGACAGCAAGCCAATAGTGGGTTGTTGACAAGCTTTGGGATTTAGAAAACTTAGAGATCCTGGGTTTAAAGAATTGCAGTAGAGAATTCTCAAGTGGCCTTTGCAGCTCACCAATTCCCAGCTTACTTCCCTCATGGAGTTATTCTTCAAGGCTAAATGAGAATAATTCCACACACAATATGAACTCCATCAAACAAGGATGGGTTGCCATATGATTGATGGAAAGTTTAGATAATTGACCAGGTGATTTTGTTTCTATTTTCCTTAGCAAACTTCCAACTGCAGGTCCCTAAGTTCCTTTGGTTAAGAAGAAGCAGCTGCTTCAATTCAAACCCAAGAGATGCATCTGGAGGGAATTCAGGGGTAGAAGATTATGGGCCTTTCAACCTCTCATTTAAGCATTCCTTCTTTGAAATGAATATTGATCAGAGGTTTCATTTTCATTTATACTTCCTTGATCATGTTGTAGGGTTTCCTTGGTGGAAAGTTATGAATGCCTTGTGGCACCAAAATACCTGTGAGAGGAAAAAAAAAATCAGGTCAGGATTAGGGAGGCCCAGGTTCAAAACTTTGCTCAGTTTAATACTTCTTAGCCTAACTAATTTAACCTACCGGGTTGTTGGGAAGATTAATGGGCAAACAGAGCCATATTATTCAAGCAGAGTTCCTTCAAAGAAGACTAGTATATAAATATAAACCATGATGTGTACTGGGGCTTTTTCAAGGTGTACGAAGTCCTCAAGGAGTACAGCCAAAATGTCTACTTTGGGTTTCCTCCAGTACACATGGCATTACTTCTGAGGCAACATGAGATCTTTTCACTTTGAACGTGGGATGCCTCCCACATTAAAAGCATGTCTGTTTGCTAGGGTTTTCACTATGGTGTATGAGTATAGCTGTCAGTTGGTGTTGGCGCACTTTTCTCTTTTAGCTTTCTATGGGTAGTTTTTAATTGTTATTCAGAACTGAGATCTGTCTGTCTATCTATCCTGTGGACCACTTTGGATTTTTTTCTAGTAGAAAGCAGAAAATAAATAGTAGTGATGACAATAATGTCTCCTCTATCTTTCTCCCTTTCATTTGTAGAAGGGTTTGTGGAACTGCTGCACAAGCCAAGGACGTGGAGACCATGCTGAAGTTCACTGAGTTTTCCTGGGAACTTCTTTTACTAGGGATCAGAGTTCCTCAGCAAGTGATGGCACCTAGTTCAAAGCTAAGCAGAGGTAAACCTGGTCAGTACCTGGATAGCAGACATCAAGAAATCCAAGGGCTGAAGATTAAATGGGGAATTCAAATAAACATCTTGAAAAAAATGGCCATGGCAAAGGTCTTCCCTATTGTTGCCAAGAATCAAAATGGTCCCATCAGTGTGGTCATCAGAATGAGTCACAGCCTCTGGCAGACTTAGCAGCAGCCTCCTCTGATAAACTAAGCAGGGTCAATTCTAGTTCATACTTGGATGGGAGACCACCAGCAAATCCAAGGGCCATAGATTAAACTGGGAAGTTGAATGAACATCTGGAACCGCACTCTCACTGTGGCAAGAACACTAATGGACAGCCCCAGTTGGAACGGAGAGGTGCTTTATCCTTTAATGCAGGATTCAAATGCACACCATGCACCTCTCTACCCATTGCTGGGTGCAGCTTTGGGGCCCAAGGCCAGGCCAACCGCCCCTTTCTTTCCTTTCCACCCACATCGGGGTAGCTTCATTCCGATTCAGCGGACTCAACCTTTGGAAGCCAACCGGCTCCCTCGCTTCCCAGAATTAAGGAGCGGGAAGTCTAATGCAAGCCGCGTGCGGCGGGGGGAGCGGCTGGGAACGGGTCTCTCCTTTTCCCGCCTGGCTCCGCCCCTCTCCTGAACGAAGAGCTGCCAATGCGCGGGGAGGGGGCTCGGAGGAGGCGTGCTGCGGTTCGGCATGTGGCTGGGCTGGGGATCGCCTTCCAGGTAGACGGCAACAAATTGTCTGCTTGGAATTGGAGGTCACTGCCGCGTTTCCTCTGTTGGCTGATTGACAGCCCGCGCCCGGCTATATAAAGCGGGCGAGCGAAAGGCTGGGGAGCGACTTCAAAGGCATCCGAGCGCCCGCGTGTGCCTGCGCGCCCCGCCGAGGACAGCGCTTGGAAGGAGTGGGCTTCGCGCTCCCGGGCGACGGGCGGACCCTCTAGTCTTCTGGGCTTGGATTTGGCAGCTACAACCCGGAGTTTCGTGGGACCGCTCCAGGCAGGTAGGACTTTGAGACGATGCTTCTCCGAGAGGCGCCGAGGAGGGAGGAGAAAACCTTTAGTCAGTTTCCTCGTACGGAAGCCCCGACTCATGGCTTAGAGGAAACTCCGTGAGTGGAAGTGAGGTGCTGATGTGGGACAGAGTCCTCGATTCCGACGGGTACCCCGTGCATCACTGGGACCCGCTCCCAGCGATATTTGGCCAGAATTGAAATTTCAGTCTGCGTCCAGACCCCTCTCCCCAACGCCCATCCCAGCCCCAGCATGCCGACTTTCTAATTTTATTAGCCCATACACTTGGCTTGTTGGTAAGAATTCATTCTTTTCCTAATTCCCTCTTGTAAAAAAAAAAAGAGTGAGCTTTTCAATGGAGATCTAAAAAGAAAATCTTTCTTTAGGGGTCATAGAAAGCCCAACCCAGCGCTGGGGTGTTTTTCTTGCTGCAAGCCCCTTTAGGTGGGGGGAAATGGGAGCTATATGCAAGTGGCTGCCACCCAAATCTGAGGCTCTGAGTCTTTGGGATGAACTGCCCAATATCTAGAGTGGTCTGTGTAGAAGTATGCAAGGTTATACGTGTCTCCCGAGTCCCGAGAATGTTTATGAAGCTCGCAATGGAAGAAAGATGTGTCCTCCACCCAGCGCACAAGCCACAAGAGCATCTTTGGGTCAGAGCCTCTGAAAAAAATTCTTCACAAGTTCTGTAAAATGAGTAAGATCTGCATAAGAACTTCCATGTGTTTGATTGAGCTTAGTGCTGGGGCCCTTCGTTTCTATTGGGGGCCCTTGATAGCATTCAGATGCACCTTCAGTATCTTCCTTTTTACATACTGTTGGTTTCCTAAGGACAAACCCATGCTCCATAAAGTATAATCCAAGTAAAATGTAAAGTGTAGCTGTTGCAAAAAATAATGTATATGTATATTGCATATTCTAATAGAGGTAAAAAAATTCTTAAATCTCTCAGTGGGCTGAAATAGGGCTTAACTTTATCTTGCTTGGGGGTCATACTCATATTGTGTGTGTGTGTGTGTTAATATATAGTTGTGTAGCTTTCCATGTTTGTTAATGACTAGGTCCTATCAACATTTTTGACTAGTGGAAATTTTGACTGAGTATGAATTTTCCTGCTTTGATGTGGAATAAATGCACAGTTCTGAGATTCACAGTGCAATCTTAAATAGATGCAGCAAATTTATGTTCTACTTTTTCACTGCAAGCCATATTAAATTTTCAATATTATAATTAACATTTCAATAGTGAAACATTCAATTAACAATTAGTTATTCAATGAAACTTCCAAGAACTCCACACGGGACTGCAGTTGGAAACTTATATTTCTGGCTAAGATCATGAAATCTAAACTTTTTTATTAGTAAAGAAGGCTGTGAGCATAGAATTGATCAAAATGAAGAGTCATTTTATGCTGATACAACAGTAGATACAGAGAAATAGACTGCTATTTTTCCAATGGTCAGTGTATATGTTTATTTATTTTATTTATTTTATTCATCATGTATACACATATGCTGCCCATCTCATTGTATAAGTGATTCTAGGGTGACTCATATATGTGTGTATATGCATTGGGTGTATGTGAGAGAAATGGAGATTTGCTGCTGAAGCATTAGCACAAGTTATATATGTGAAACCCTGCTGGAAATACCATTATCTTCTAAGAATGTAGCTCTGTAGCTGGCCAAAAATGAATTTAAGAGATTCAATAGCTAATAGACTATCCAGCACCCAGACGTCTCACAGAAAGCTTTTGAAGAAATTCTGTCCATATCATATATCTATTTCCTTGAATGTATTAGGAAGGCTATTACAGACTGGGGTCCTTCCCTGCATTTCAAATGAACATTTTCACTAATGTCATCAGAATCAACCCCAGATCAAGCTACACAGAGAAGCAGAAGCATGGCCAAAGTAAAACATACTGATCCTGTGCAGTAGTAGAATATTATATATTCCCTGTATACAACAAATAATCAATTTTATATACTGCTATACAAAGCAATTTTCTTAGCTGGTTTCCTTTTATGCTTATTGGAGATGAGTTAAATGTTTAAAACAGGCAAAGGAGCCTCAATAATGGATACATCTTGGTTTGTTCCTAGGCATGATGTTACACAGGAGTTGGTTACTGGGGCTAATGATCTGTCTAGCTTTGTGGATTTCATCACAGGCTCAAGGTAGGTCTTTGAATTTCAGTATTGTCTGAGCAGTTTCAGGAAGGCAGAAACTTTAGTAACTGTGACATAATTGCTAACACAAGTGAGGCTGCAGTTGTATGCACATGAATTTGGCTCGCACTTAAGAATACTTGCTCAAGTATTTCTTTCCACTGCGTGCCTAAAATATGACATTGGAATAGACAATAGGCCTATCTCAAAAGCTGTGGAGGCAGGGAAGGGGCCCAAGAGATAGAGATACTGTATGCAGATAAAGAACCTTTCTCCACTCTTGCTGAGCCACAGCACAGATATTAAAAAAAAATCAGCCCTGTCCCCATGACATTGCCTTCGTCTCATCACTAGCCCATGAATGAGGCAGGGTAACAATAGTAATAATAATTCATTAAACTTGTATACTGCCTGCTGCCTTAGCTAAACTGGTGTTGAAGTTGTGTTTTCCCCCTTCTTCCAACCCCATCCATAGGCAGCCTCAAAGTCTATAAAATCTGCCCGGCTTCTCTTCCTAACTTTGCAGGGAGACCAGGTAACTGCAGTAGCTTGAAGGAGCCAATAGAGGCAGGATAGAGACTGATCGATGTCATGCCAATGGATGTAGTTTTCTGCCAGCTCAGGGACTGGTGGAGGGCACTTCCTACGGGCAAAGGTCCAGTATTTAAAATGGGCAGCAATGCAGGGTCAAACAGCTACCTCAATGTGAGGGTCTAGGCATCAAATTAATTTGTGATTTAAAGACCGCACCTCTTCCTCTTCCTCCTGAATTACTTGGCTAGTAAACATATTTTTAATCTGGTTGTCTCTGAGAAGGAGAACTTAGCTGATTGTTTAAAAAACAGCTTTAAATCCACTGAGGTTACTAGATTTTGCTTATGTGCTGCTTTTCTTTGAGAAAATTCCCAGTGGTATCCTTGGCTTCAGCAGATGCTGCAGTGTTGGATCTTTCCTGGAAAGCCAGTAGATTTGGCTTGAACTTTTATTCAGCTTCAGCAAGCACATCTCTTTCATATAGTTCAACAAGAGACAGTAGCAGCTAGACAAATTTGTTTCATGCCAGAGAGTAGCAATTATTCGTACTAAGTATGTAAGCATCCAATGCAATGATGTCATGCTTGTCTTGATGCTATCATGCAGATGGTGGAAATGATAGCATGATATGATATGACTGATGTATTTAAATCGTTCCATTCCCATGAGAACATCATGAAATATGTGTTGTCATTTCCATGGAAAAACCCTGGAGGTAAATCCCACTGAAACCATGCAAAGTTACTTTTTAACATGCTGGGTAGGTGCACGCAATGTTTTAAGCCATATGTTGATCTATCTAATTGTGGATTATTCGGTAGACGAACTATGGTTTAGCATGTGTTTTCATGTGTTTTGAGTTCAGAGCTTGAGGAATACCTGATTATGAGACTAACTTAAATGATATCCACTGATTAATTCCCTAATTATTTATCCAATGTGGATCATTGATAAGAGTAGTAGGTTTGGATCAGAAAGCCTTAATGAACATTTTTTGTTTAAGTGGCTGTGGTTGCAAACAAATAAAACTTTCAGCCTATATTTCCCAGTCTGAAAAGTTGAGATACATATGTCCTACTTTATAAGTTTGTTGTGAGGATGAATGAGAAAACAGCTGCAAATTGCAGTATAATTTTTAAGAGCAATAATAAATAGTCATGCTAAAACTGTGCCAGAGAGAGAGAGAGAGACTTATTGGACAAATGATGGTCAATCACACTGGACATTCCTTTGTTGTAACCATGTCACTGTTTGGCGATGGCTTTACAGATGGTGATAGAGATGATGGGACCACTTTTGACTTACTGAAAATCAGCAACATAAACAGAAAGACAATTGGAGCAAAACTATTTCGAGGCAACATTTCTAATGTCCCAGCATATCGCTTCGTCCGGTTTGATCGCATCCCACCAGTTAATTCAGAGAAATTAAGACAGATTATTAAACTGATGCAGCAAAATGAGGGCTTCATACTTACAGCCACCTTGAGGCAGGATAGGAGTTCCAAAGGGACCATCCTTGCACTGGAAGGTCCTGGCATCTTTCAACGACAGTTTGAAATTGTTTCCAATGGTCAAGACAATACACTTGAACTTTCCTATTGGGTTGATGGTGCCTGGAAGCAGCATTCTTTGGAAGACGTGGAATTAGCTGATGTACAATGGAAGAATATCACGGTACAAGTTACAGGAGAAAACTACAGTATCTATGTTGGTTGTGACCTTATTGACAGCTTGAGCCTGGAAGAACCTTTCTATGAATACCTGAAAGCAGAGAAAAGTAACATGTATGTGATCAAGGGAGCTACAAGAGAGAGTCATTTTCGGGTAGGTAACCTGCAAGACAGATGGTCTATGAAGTAAAGGACCTGCAGTGGAATGTTATTTATGTCTACTACTACTGAATTCAGTGAGTCTTTCTCCCAGGGGAGGTGGCATAGAATGTTTACTTGGAAACTGAAAGGTGTGGTAAGTATGCTGCAGGTTGTAATCATTTAGATCAGTTCGTGGCATGGTGGTCACTGAAAATTGCAACCTGATGTCTAGTTCTCCTTTTTCTCCTCCTCCTCCTCCTCCTCACAAAATGGCTCAGAGCCACAGCACTTGATCTGTATGCAAGCTAGAAGCCCCTGACTGTTCCAAGATTACTAGTGAGTTAGCACTTTGGGGAGGAAAGGCTAGAGGAGGAGGAGGAGAGTCGTCTCCATAGTTCAGTGCTTTAATTCAACCTTCTCCAGCCTAGTGTCCTCCAAATATGTTGGGACTAAACTTCCAGAATTCACAGCTTGCATGGCTGGAGAAGACAATTCAAAGTACTGTGTTACACTTTCTGAAGTAATGTATAAGACAGGAAATGACATATCTAGCATTTCTAAACTATACATTATGGGGTGAGGGAGGAAAATAAGGTATCAGTAGCCAGTTTGGCCAACAGTTTCCTGGTTTGTATGACATCTTGTTCCAGTCCTCCATGTCTAACCTATTGAAGCATGATCAGCTATAAGTTAACCATTTATAGGTAGCCCTCGCTTACCAACCACAATTGGGACTGGCAATTCTGTTGCTAAGTGCCACAGTCACTAAGTGAAAAATCACATGACCACGCTGGACTTACGATGTCATTTACATTTCCGTGGTTAAGCAAATCCCCGTAGTCATTAAACAAGACATCACATGACCGTGGCTTGCAATTTCTCTGTGTTCTCCATTAATTCTACTTGTCTGAAGCTGGTTGTGAAGCTTGCAAATGGTGATCACATGGCCATGGGATGCTGCGATGGACTATGCAAGGATTTGTTGCAAAGCTGGTTTTTTTTTCAACCATCATAACTTCAGATAGTCACTAAACAAGTCAGCTGGTAAGCAAGGACTACTTCTGGTACGTTTAGAAAGCACTAGAGCTGTCTTTCCTTCTCTGTGCTAAGATCAGATAAGTAATGTCCCTCCAAATATAATTAGACTTCCATTCTCATCTTCTCATGCTTACTCATGCTAAGGGGAGTTGATGTAGCAACATCTCAAGGGTCTTAAATTCCTTAAGTAGCCCTAGGTTAGACATTACCCAGCATGGAGAACTTAATAATGAGTTCCATTTCCTGAAAGCTTATGTTTTAACTGCATAATACTCTTGAAATACTCCTCATGGAATTAATAAAAATGTCACCCAGGTGAATTTTTGAAAGTCCATTGGGGTGTGTAGAATGTGATTAGTGAACATAAAATAGCTATTCAAAAGTCATTGAGGGCTGCTAATCACATGTTGCATGACATCAGGAAGGGAAAAAGAGGCAGTTTTGGAATGTGGGTGCTTTATTAGGATCCATTCAAACAATATCTTGCAAGGATTGCTTTGATTCTTTGGATTATGGTCTTGTCTTAAGGAAGGACTGCTCAACTAAGAGTGCTCTTTTGCAAAACTGAAATACATGAGACAAGTACATCCAGCTGTTATTTATTTATTTCTGACTTATTATCTTTGCTTATCAAGAACTCAGGGCAGTATAAACAAAGAAATCAAGCAATACACACAAGGATTTAGCAGCACAGATCCACATCCAAGACACTATTGTACAAAAATTAAGATGAAACTCTTTTTGTTACCTGCCTCAGAAAGAGCAGTTAAGTGACTGAGTAGGCATTTCTGATGGGGCAGACGCTGTTCCAGACTGTGGTATTTCTTTGGCCTAGCTTTTATTGTCAATAATTGAGCACACTAGTTTGATTTTAAATAAAAAATAGTTACATATTACAGAATGGACAAAAGTAGGCTTGTTTATTTATTTAGTAAATTTATAGGCCACTCATCTCATATACATGACTCTGGGCAGCTATTTACATTCCAGTGGCTCATGCTTTTCAGAAGTAAGTCCCAGCGAGTTCAACAGAACTTCTCAGAAAAGTTTACATAAAGGATTGTAACCTTCGTCATTCATAGCATTTCTAGACTGGGGAACGTGTCTATACAGGTATCTTTCCCTGGGGTGTGCTAATTGATGGATTACATGCTAACAGCTGTATTTGTTCCCAACTACATCTATCCAATCTTTTGAAAAGTGCTGAAGTACATATTGTACATATTAAGTGCATATTAAATTGGTTTAATAAAATGGATTAATAAATATTCATGTCATGCTAGTCACAGTGAGGAGGACTCAAGTATATCTTTTTTTCTTCAATCTGCACCTGAAAGGGGAAAAAGTAAAATTAGAAATTGCTTTCTTATGTATTTGAGCAATATTTTTATCATAGTAAAGGTTGCATTTTTTAATTTATGCATAGTTAAATTCATCACTCTCTAGAACAGGAGTGATGAATGTGTAGCCTTCCAAATGTCCTTGGATTTAAACCTTTATCACTCAGACAACTGGTTGGGCTCTAGATACCTTACTCTGCTAATGACACGATGGTGGTGGAAATTGGAGTGAGTTTTCCATTTCTAATTTCTGCTCTTTTCTCAGCTCTACAACTGATTATGATGGAAAAGTGGTTAACTTTCTTTTCAGCCCCTAGATCTCAACTGTTCACCAGGAATAAAATGTAATTGGTACATTACTAATTTACAACATAGACTATAAATCTATCTGGGAGAAAACATGACTAAACTCATCAGAGATTATTTCTTACTAACCTCTTCCCAAGGAATGTTGGAAACTATAATTTCATGAGATTGGTAAAGACTGTTATCAGACTGTTATCAGGAAATATTCAGCTTCACTCCAGGATTTGGGTGATAAAAGCCAATATGAGCTAACTCCTATGCTATGAATTATGTTGTTGTTGTTGTTATATTACTCTACAGTATAGAGTTATTGCACTTTTTTACACCCTTCCTCCATGGGATTCACAATAGTATGCATTATTTCCCCCCTTATTATGATTTTTTTGTGATCCAGTGATATAGATTAGGCTGAGAAATTATCAGTTGACTAAGATCATCTGATGAAGTCCATATTAAGAAGAGCTTTAAATTATGGTCTTCTAATTCTTTGTTATTACTCCTTTATTGTTGTGTTTGTGTACCACTGCATCGAATATTAGAACTTTCAAAAATGTGTTATCAAGACATCTGGTGGAATATTAACTCCCATGCCAAAGAAATGCTTCTATATGCATGAACCAATGTATTTGAGCAATATTTTTATCATAGTAAAGGTTGCATTTTTTTATGTATGCATAGTTAAATTCAGTTTAAAAAAACAGGCAAAAATCAGACCAACAGCATATCCCTAAAATGTATGAGAAATACTTCTGTCTGTTTTCAGGGTCTCCTACAAAATCTTTATCTGGTTTTTGGAACTTCAATAGAGGATATTTTGCATGAAAAAGGATGCCAGAGAAGTCAATCAGGTAAGAAGATGTAGCATTGTTAATTCTGGACTTATGTACACCATTTTCCTTCTCTGATAGGCTAAGTCTAAGGGGGGTGGGGTGGGGAAGAAGAGAATGGAAACTGTGAATGAATTGAATGAAAGTTTAGTATAGTTGGTAATTAATAAAATTGGGCGTGAGCTGTTTTGCTTGCTGTACTTCTGACTCTCTGTTGGGCACCTTCCTGAAGCACTGAACAACTCCTAGACAACATGGACCTTTGCATATGCTGCCTGGGAATCCCTAGACTTTCCCCAGGAAAATGCCCTCCTGGGGAAGGCTGCTATTCAGAGTTGAATAGGCATACAGCAGTGACAAATAATTTCCATTCCTTGCAGGGATGAAATTCTAGCAAAATTATTTATTTGGAGACCTTTCCTTTCCTTTCCTTTCCTTTCCTTTCCTTTCCTTTCCTTTCCTTTCCTTTCCTTTCTTTTTCTTTTTTTTTTTTTCTTCTCTTTCTTTTCCTCTCTTTCT